TCCGAGAATTATTGGGTATAAAAAACCCCAACAAATCTCCACATTAATACCCAATCAACCTGTAAGTAACCAAAACACACAATTTATACCTGCATAATAAAGATAACCAATAAAATTGGTATCACAAACCTTACCTCGTGTTTTGGACCCGAAACACATACCATACTTGCTCCATATGCTTACCAGGGCTAAGGTCAAGAACACCCAAATAGAAGTAGATAATTACAGTAATCAATGAATAGCAAATAAACATGCGATAAAGATATCATATAGGATAACACAAATCCTTTTAAAATGACACATTCACACAAAAAAACAAATCAACACCAAATTAATCAAGCACACGATCAACATATGCATAAATGACCTCATGAAAAGATTCACCACACTTATTCTATCTCATTTCTTGTTGCTTACACCTCGAGAACACATATCTCACATCATCGCCCACCATGCTCACAAGACTAATCACCCAACCCATGTCTAACTGGTAGACCTCTATAGATCCTAAATCTTTAGGATAATCCTCTATCACCACATCACTTCTCCCAACCTAAGTGGATAATGGGTCTCCACCTAACAGAAGTGATAGAAGTGCTTTTCTCGCACAGTCTACTTGATCAAGGTCTCTTCTCATATAAATGATTCCAACATTTGATCACATTTCTACTCATGATCCAAATGTCACACTCCACATCCTCGGTACAAACCACCAATGTACCCCTAGGCATCTATGATCCATCTCACCAATAAACATACAACACACTGCTAATGCATCTTAACCCACTATGCATGCAAACACATTACACATAATAATCAAATTGCTTCAAAAATTCATGCAAAAGCACATATCAAACACATTGAAATGCACATTTAATCATGCAACCAATTAAGTAATCACATACATGCAGAAATGATTACACACGAATGCACATGCAGTAATTAGGTTTACTCTCAACAAACCTCACTAGGGTTATCACTCGACCCTATAGCCACATTCGCAGTCTCTCATCTTACCATTCTACTTATCTTTTTTCTTCTTGGGACAGTCCCTAATAAAGTGTCAAGTCTTACCACAATTGTAATACTGTCTACCTCTAAACTCGTCACATCCCTTACCCTTCTTCTTACCACCATAATCATTTGAGTCACTACTCGAATCACCATTGTCTTGAGTTCTACCCAAATTCATCTGTTTAAACTTCATTATACTCTTCATCATATGCAACTCACTACTTCTCTTATTCTCTTTTTCAGCTTTAATCTCTATCCCTTACTTTTAAGTGAATCTACGACAAGCTAAGGTGTTAAAGTGTCTCTACCATACTTAATTGCATTCTTAATCTCTCTATATGAATCGGGCATAGAATTCGGAAAAACAATGGCCTTATATGTTTCAAATACTTTTTCATCACAATTAATGATATTTTGAACAAGTTTGTTGAAAATATCTTGTCATCAAGATCATTTGAATGATCTATTTTAAAATTAAAAAATCTTTCAATCAAGTACAATTTGTTAGGAGTAGACTTAACCAAATATAAGTCTTCCAAATTTTGCCAAAATTCTTTCGTAGAATCAAAATTTTCAACTTTTCTTAAAACGATGTCGGATAGGTGTAAAATAATTGAAGTCCAAGCGAGTTCTTCATATTCTTCTTTTTGTACTTCTATTAAATTTACTAGAAATTTTTCATCTATGACTTTTTGAAACATTTTGTTGAAACTAAAATTCCCTTCATCTTTTGTTGTCAAATTGAGAAATCTCGTTTTCCAATGAAAATTTCAACTTCAAAACGTGAAGACATTTTGAAAAAACAGAACAACTAAAAATGCACAAATAGGTCACACAAAGTAATCATAAGGCAACAATATACACCATTCTAGATTCTCAGGATTTCGTGGGACTCGAGATCTCAGATCAAAGGAATGTTCAAACGGGTCAAGTCTAGGTATGCAATACAAAGATATGTCAACAAAAATTTCAAATTCTCACGCAATTAAACACAAAAGCAATTATTAACTTGCAGTTAAATCCAACACTTCAAATAGAACAAATATTTCCTAAATTTCTAGCACAAGCAATGTTACCCCACATGGTAATCTCAATCATAATGTCACCCAACACGATGATAAGCTAATGTTGAAATTTAAATAGGATTAGCCAATTTACCAAAATGAACCTACCCGAGTCCGTAAATTACGAGAAATGTAATTTTAACACTTTAGGGCCACCACTATTCGCCATAAAGTTTTCCACAACCGATCAAATGTAGAATTGAATCACGAATGCGCATGAGCAAAATCTTCCAAATTTCACTGTATCACCTGAAACAGAAAACTAACACCACCAAAATGTTAACAAAAATGCCAGGAACAAACTGTCTGAAGACACCGTCGCGGGAAAACACTCCACGCGTCCTCATGCGCAGTAGCCGGAGTTCCACTCGTCGCCGTCGCCAATCACGCGCCACCCATCCAGGTGCTCCTTGGTCTGCAGATCAAGGTTCTGGCCTTCGTTTCACCAATGGACTTCTGGATTGGTCGAAATCATCGATTGCAAGTTCAGTTTTTTGGAAAATTTTGGACAGTTTCGCCGGAAATCCACCACCAACGTGGCTCTGATACCAATTGTAGAATAATGGGCCTTTGCTTAGTGGAATCCAGGCTTAGTTTCTCTATCTAATCGAAATTAACCAATTCAATTAACAGCCCAAGAACCACAACTATTTTCCTACACTTCGATTGCTATAGTTTCACCCACAAAGGGACCAAATGACGGTGTTATTACAGCCACAAAGACACCCTTTCAAAGCAACCACAAAAGCAAAGGAAGGAGAAAAATCGAATGAGAAGAGACAGTGAAGAACAGTCAGATTCTCTCTTTGAGGGAAGAAAAAAAACACACGTGAATATCACAGGAATGGACAGCATATATATGGGTTACATTTGGTATATAAGAAAAAGGGACCAAGTCCAAATCAACACATGAACCAACCCTATAAGCCATCCAAGAAATGAGGAAATGGGCCATGAGAAGCTCTAACTAAATTAAGCTACCTCTTATGGCCCAAATAGTTCTAAGTTTGGGTCATTACATTGAGATGTCAATATTTCAATATATCCAATATCGGTTTAACATTATTGTCCGAAATTTATTGGGTATCAAAAAACCCAACACGATGGTTTTCAATTGGAACCATGGTGCCAAACTCATCGATCATTCTCTCAAGTAAAGCACACTCTTTATGAAACTTACCAAAATGGGCACAATCAGTAACTAGCCCGTTCACCATAAAGGCTAATTTTGGACATAAAAACTAGGCTGGGGACATCATAAATTATACTTAGCCCCTGTTTGACAGCAATTGTTTGGCAAAAATAATATTTGAATAATGATTTTTAGGAGAATGTGTGGTTAAAAGGTAGTGAAATTTTTTGAATTTATGTATAGAATATTATATTATGTGAACGTTTGGTTGAAAATAAATACGTAGAAAAAATAATTTTCAAATGGTTGTCAAATAGGGGCTTAGTCTTTAGTTTATAGATTGAGAAAATTGATGTGCTCTACAAATATCAACAGTCAAGTGAAAAATAAAAAACCCCGTAACAATTAATTGAAAATCACCAAAAACTAGAAGTCCTGTATAATTTCAAGAGGCCTGTCATATAAAATGGTTTTTTATTTTCTTCCATTTCGGGGTTTTAGAATGTTAAAGGGGGTGAAGAATAATATTAATTAGGAGAACTACTGAATGTTGTTCAAAAAATTTAGGAGCCCGAATGGATTAATGTTAGAAAATGAACAAAAAAGAGATCACAACTTACTAAAGGTTTATGTTTTGTGATTCAAATTTCATGTGATTTGGAAATTTGATTCATGGAAGAAATCTAGATAATTTTGGTTTAGAAATCTGGTTTGATAAGAGAACAAATTTTATCATGAATTGAAAGTTTGATTGGGATAAAGACTTTGAGATTGATGAAAAAGTGCTTTGGAAAGTTTTGGGACAGGAATTTATTCCTGTTTGGTTTTTTTACGCGATATTGCATTCTACTTCATCTATAATTCTAAGATTTGGCTTTTGTAAATACTTTACAAGGCATAGGCTTTTTAAGGTGACTCAAAAAAAGCTTAAGATAACAATTAGATTATTGTTATATACATTAAAGACTTGGGAGAATTGTTTAGATTCAAATTGAGAGAATCAAATTTTGTAAAGATAATTTTAATTTTTTGGTTTAATAAATTATTATCTTCTTCCACAAAAATCTTGTTTTCTTCGCGATCTATTATTTTTCATATTGCTCATATTATTTTCGCCTTTATTAGTTGGCCGAATTCTCAATAAAATGGTATCAAAGTGATTCTGGTATCCTAGTTTCGTTCATAACAAAAGGTTCAAAGCTTATTCTCTTCCTTACGTAGAAAAATTTCAAAATTTGACAAACAAATTGCAAGAAAAATAATTAAAATCAAATATTTCAGATAAGACTTCGGAAAAAGACGCTAGTTTAGATTACATTCAAGAAGTTTCGGTGAGAAAATTCACTCCCAAAAGAAACAAAAATTCAAATGTTCTACACCAATAAAAGGCACTCGTGGAAAACTCAAATGTTGTACACAAGAACAAGACACTATTGGGACTGTACACAAAAAATTCACTCCATAAAGAAAAAATTCTAACTATTATTTTCTACACTTGTGGTGGCAGTAGGGGCGGTCGTGGGGGCGATGTGGGGGCTTGGGGTGGGCTTGGAGATGTGTATGGGTGGTCGAGATATTTGGGCACTAGATAGGATTTCATTGGTGCAATACATATGTTAACGGATTGAACAAACAAACATACAATTCATTCGAACAAGCTTAGTACTATGTTATCCATTGTGCTAAAATGTGTCCTTGCACATTTTCAGGAAACAACATAGGATAAACATCCATTTTATTTTATATACTACTAGATACTGCATTCTCTAATGCAGAATTTCTTGATCATTTCACAATTGTCTCTTAATTTGTGGAATGAGTTGCAAAGGTTCCTTCTTTAGTAGCTCAATATGATACACCTCGTCCATGTTCAACTCAGTCGGGCTGTTGTAACCTGGAAGAGACCAGACTATCTCATGCATCAACGTAGCTACAACAAATGGAACTTGCCTAGCAACTATAGGCAATCCAGGACACATTCTTCTTCCCGAACCAAATGGAATGAACTCAAAATCATTCCCTTTGAAGTCGAGCCCTGAGTCGAGAAACCTATCCGGTTTGAAACTCGATGGATCATTCCATATGGTGGGATCTCTAGCCATTGCCCATGTGTTCACAATTACTTGACTGCCCTTAGGAATGGTAAAATTCATCACCTTGCAGGTCTCTGTTGCACGGCGTGGAAGAAGAAATGGGACAGGAGGGTGCAGCCTCATTGATTCTTTTACACAGGCTTGTAAATAAGGGAAATTCATGATTTCTGATTCTTTTATCATATGATTTCCAATCTTTTTCTTGAGTTCATCACATAGCTTATGCATTGCTTCTTGATTCTTGATTAAATCTACCATTGCCCAGATAGTTGCTGTGGTGGTTGTCTCTGTAGCAGCCATTAACAACTCCTACACATGAATATATGCTTGTTACACTATGATTTGGAAGTGAGATCTAAAACACTAGTATTTGGGAAAAGTGATTACTCTAAATTTTGAACGCAAAAGTATTTAATTCTCTTTTCCTTTTTTGAAGACATATTTTCACCTTACGAGGACAAGTTATCTTTGTTTAACATTATGTTTCGCCTTACTAGCACTAGTTTGTCTTCGTATTATAATTCAAGAGAAACCACTTGGTAACAAAGTTTCTTCTTCTAGTTTGAAACCCTATTTTCGTGTTAATAATTGAATATTAGTAGGTTATTTTGTATATTCTCTGAAACTCTGTTTTCATGTACAACTAAAGATATTTAGCCCATCTTTGGTCCCATTTTGGGCAAAATGAGTTTTGTCATTGTGATTATTTTGAGAATGTGATATATGAAAAGGTTTTGGTGTTTACGTACAAAATTATTTTATTAAGAGAATATAGTTGAAAATGAATTTGAGAAAAAAATAATTTTTTAGAGAATGAAACTCAAACAATCTTACCTTTATAAGTACGGAAATGATATCTAGTACAATGATTGGAATAAAGTAAAAATTTCAAATTCGAAAATCAAAATCTCTAGTTCAATTTTTAAAAACTTACAAACTCTCATGTCAGACTGGAAAACCTGTCGCTCGGGCCCTTGATCGGGCCGAACAAATTAATTTGATAGAAACGTACTTTGACTCGGTTAAAAATGAGCTTTGACCGAGTTAACCGGTGATTTAACTACCTCGACTGACCAGTTTGACTGGTTTTGAAAATTTTTTGGGTCCGAGTGAATTGAACCTAAAACCTCCAAGGAAAATAATGGGTTCATCATTACTTGAACACAAAGTGATTTAGTGTTATTTATGTATAATAACTTATATCTATCTAATGAATCATTTATTGGTTTTTAAAAATATTTTTTAAAAAATTTTGGCCAACCTTTTACTTTATTTTATAAACCTAAATAATTAATGAAAAATAACTTTAAAAAATTTAATTTTGCCTAAAAAAAATTATACTTTATATGTTTTTGTAGATTTTTATGTAATGGCTCACTGATCCGACTACCGACCTACCGATTCGACAAGTAGCCTAAGACCCAATACCTTGTCAGGGTTAATGTACGAGTCAAGTCTAATAACTATGACTTTTATAGGCACAAACTTTGGATTATTCGAATCAAAATTCAAGAAAAGCATAATTTCCAACAAAGCATAATCAAAATTTCGAGTTCTAGAGAGAGAGATGTACCAATAACAAGTGGTTGATATGATCATCACTGAAACCATATCCAAGCAGAGCATCCAAGAAATCTTCTCGAGTCAAAATATTTCTCCTTATTTTTTCCCTCCTCTCGTTGATAATATCTTTCCAAATTGTAAATATTTTTTCATAAATTTTTCTGACCATTTTTTGCTTTCCCTGAATATCCCATCCATGCAATATTGGGAAAAGATCTGCTACATTTGGGCTTGCTGCAATCTTCACAAATTTACCTACCAATTTCTTAACCTCCATCCCTTTACCGCCGCCGTCCGGCCCAAAAACATCCATTGAGAACAACATATTGCAATTTGTATTTAACAGTGTGTTAAATATTAATTCACTGATATTCACCACCTGCCCTTGTTTTGCATGCAAATATCTCACCATATTTATCACGTTCTTTTCTCTAATCTTCATCTGAGATTGAAGGGCCTTGCCGGAGAAAAGCTCAGCCCGACAAATTGACCGGAGGAACTTCCACTGATCATCGCATTCATTAGCAAACCCTACAGCAAATTTGTTCACTTTCGGGCTGGAGGCTGGATGAGTATATGAAAGATATCTTCCAGATAAAAACCGATCTTGTGTTTTAAGTATTTCCATAGCAGCAGTTGGGGATGATCCCACCACCACGAGGCTCGCCCCGAGCCTGAACGACATTACCTGGCCGTAAATTCGGGCCATGCTAGCTAGCTTGATATGGGGATTTCTCCCCATCTGGAAGACATTTCCTATCACAGGCCATGGATATGGCCCTGGTGGAATTTTTGATATTTTCTGCTCAATGTGCTTCAGAATCAGCATCAAAATTGGGATCAAGATCAAAGTTAAAAAGAAATCCATGGACATTTCGATGATCAACGCGAAGGTTTCACTGAAAAGTGGTTTTATGAGCCACCATAATTTATAGTTGAAACAAACTCAGATACACACCGGCAGCAAAATTAAATAATATAAATAAAAAAAAATTAGTTTATTTTACTTCTTTAAAAATGTATAGTAATGTTCGATTCATGTACTAAACAATACGCGAATTTTGTACAAGGAATAAGGAAGATACGTGTGGGGAACATCTATCAATTTTGTTTGTTCTCTATTAGAGCTCAAGCGTTCATGATCTGCTGCTAATGTACATAAAACACAATATTCTAACGAAATATTTTGCTAAAAGGCACTCTTGAGTCTTGACAGTGTTGAGATATAAAGGGAATTATTTTAATCCGAAGAGTGGTTGGTTCTCCATTTTATCTCTGTGTTACTTAGACCTCAATTTTAAGTTTTTGTAATATATATTTAATTTCTCATTGAAGATTTTTTCCCCAAATTATTTATACTCAAGTTTAAGAAAATAACGAATAATACCAAAAAAAAAAAAAAAAAA